GGTAGGGGTTACTGCACTCTACAACCTGGTCAGCTTTCCTGAGTCTGACCCTTATCCCCTTGGAGACAACCACTCTCCACGCCTGCTCCTCCTGACCCTCCTTCGTAGGTGTCCTGCTAGGCAGGACACTTAACTGAAGGAGTTCAGTCCTGAGGGCTTTGTTCTCCCCCTTTAAAAAGAAGTATCTCTCTCCTCAACTGCTCCAGCTTACTTAACAGAGTGGCCAGGGGGTCGTCTTTCCTCACACACCTTCCCTCTTCTCCCACAACACAACAAGCCACAGCGGCCATTTCCTATGGTAACCAACACTATCACTTCGGGGCAAGTCCTTCTCCAAGCTAGGTCAGGTTCCTGTTACACACACACACACTTGCACACACTCTATATATATATATATATATATATATATATATATATATATATATATATATATATATATATATATATATATATATATATATATATATATATATATATATACTAGTAGAATGATTAGACAATCTATCTATATAAAACAAAGAAGAATGTCTGTTTGTTTGTGTGTGGTGTGTTTATTTGTGTGTCCGCACGAGAATCTCGGAAACTACTTTACCGATCTGTAGTGATGATGGGTGGTGTTATATGTAGTGATGATGATGGATGGTGTTATATGTAGTGATGATGGATGGTGTTATATGTAGTGATGATGGATGGTGTTATATGTAGTGATGATTAGACAATAAAATAATAACAGTTTAATGCTAAAAAAATATACTTTGCTGTACCGTTGTAGTGAAAAACATGGTGGAACTTACATACACCGTTAAAAAACTATTGATTGAAGAAGAAGTTTTGGGGACTGAACAGTGAGACAATGTGGAGCCTTCCGGATTGCGGCGATTCTGCTAGTTTATGTATATATGTATATATATATATATATATATATATATATATATATATATATATATATATATATATATATATATATATATATATATATACAATATATATATATATATATATATATATATATATATATATATATATATATATATATATATATATATATATATATATTGATAATATCACACAGGAAGAAGGGAAACAATAGAGCACCTTAGCTTTCGTCTTTATTCAAGACATCTTCAGAGGCAATTGAATTACAAGGACTGAGAGAGGCTTATGAGGTCAGGTCAAGTAAAAAACATGACATCCTCTAATCTACACACCAACACCACCACAGCTTAAAAGAAAAGGAGACGTATTTAGTTATTTCAAGTCAGTTATAAAATATGGGTCCCACTAATCATCTACCCTCCATCTACCTCAAATGCTTTTAATGCATTTTTAACCTTGGGCCACTGACAAATAAATTTGTGTAACATATTATCAGTTTTGTACTGACCATCACTAAGGTGTATAGAATTCAATACTCTATATAATCAATCTTGCTTCACCCAGAAGTCTTTCGGTGGAGTCTTTCTATGGGATGATTATTGTTCCTTATATCAACGAACAAGGCACTGCTTTTAGATGCTGTTCTAATATTGTACTTGTGCTGTTTAATTCGGAGTTGCAATGCTTTCCCAGTCTGACCTACATAATTTCCATTACAACTGATATATGGAATGCAGTAAACACTTCCATTTACATTCAAGGTTTGGCTATTCTTAATTAATATATTAGTAATAGTAGAGTCATATTTAAAAACAACATTAATGTTTAATAATTTAAGGGACTGAACTAATGGGACAAATTCATCGCGATAAGGTAGAGTCAAAATATTCTTAAATGTAGGAACTTGCCTGGTTTGAGAAGAATGAAAGGATTTTTTAGCCTTTTTAAAACAATGATCAACAAACAATGAAGGGTACCCAAAGTTTTTGTGCAATGGACTGAATGTGTTTCAGTTCTTCATCAACAAATTCAGGGTCACAAATACGCAAAACATCTCAAAAACATAGCAGAAAAAACTGATATTTTGGTAGATTCCAGTAGACTCGATAAAAAAAATGCATGAAACTGTCTACCTGTGTAGGCTTTCTGTACACCTTAAATTTATAGTTATGACCATTTCTAATGATAAGCATATCAAGAAATGGAAGGGATCCATTTATTTCTCTTTCAATTTTGAATGAAATTCCAGGGACAAGATCATTAAGCTTGTCTAAAAATTCCAATGGGTCACTGTTTCTAGGCCAAAGACAAAGAACATCATCTACACATCTATACCATGGTGGAATAAAGTCCCTTATATTGGGTAGTAACCTAGCCTCAAAAAACTCCATATAAATACAGGCTAAAGGAGCAGAAACACAATTACCCATGCCCATGCCACATATTTGCTTGTAAAACTTCCCAATTGCTCTAAACACATTGTCAGTAATGCATAACTCTATCAATTTGAGAAAAGTATCATGTTCAATAGTCAAATGTAACCGTTGCAATTTATCTTTAAGGATTGAAAATAGGTCTTTCAATGGTACTCTAGTGAAAAGTGAATTTACATCAAAACTTATTAATTCACATGGTTCATTGTGTATCTTGAGTTTCTCAATTAAATCACTGCTGTTATGTATATGTGAATTAGATATTTGGCCTGTAAGAGGGGATAGCATCCTAACCAACCACTTGGATAATTGTACGTAACAGAACCCACAGAACTCACGAAAGGACGTTGTAGTGGACGTCTCCCCTACAACTGCGTAGCCACAGCCACCACCTGCTACCGCCTTCCCTAGCAACCAACCAGATGTTACCTTAACTTAGCAACGAAACTAGTCACCGGCGACTTCTCGGGTTTTCCCAACATGACTCATAGCGGCTGCTGGGTATATAAGCTCTGTCTCTCCATTGAGATTCATTCTGACCATCTTCTTGAACAAGCAACACCTCCTCCTCCGCCGCTGCCTGGCAGCCCTCGCTTCTCCTCGCCTGCCTGGCGGTCCTCGCTCCCGCCAGCGAGCATGGCGACCCACCAGCTGTCCTTCTCTGAGCTTCCTCACCAACCAGCTTTCTCATTCTGGTCTCTCTTCTTGAACAAGCAACACCTCCTCCAGCAAGCTTCACGCTGTCAGCATTCATTCAACCAGGAGGCCAGCAACAGGCAACATCTTCTCTAACGAAGCTCCTGCACATCTACCTCCTTCAACACGCTACTCACCGAACCTCTCTACTGAGCAGCTCCTCACCACACGGCACCTCCAGCACCAGACTGTCTATCATATAACTTATATTATACAAGAAAACCACCTTAGAGTTTCCATCCATCCTGAGTGCTAGACAACATTAATATCTCGATACCCCTACAACGTAATGGATTGTTAAGCTTATGTGTTTTGATCAATCCATACATATACGGTAAAGTGGGATTGATTTGAGAGAGCTGTTTGATGAGATCGGGGTTCTTTTTCAATAACACCTTCATTTTGGAATTAGATAACTTAATAATATTTTCCAGGGTGTCTTTTGTAAGCTCACAATAAGTGCTTTCATCACTTAGTAATTAATTCATCTTATCATTATAGTTACTTTTATCCAAAATTACAATAGCACTTGGTGTAATTTATTCAATAGGTGTCCACGTCATCCACACTAAATACTTCATTCCAGGGATGGTGAACTTTCCACTGCCTGAAGAGACACACTGCAGAGTCAGTAATCGGCCTGTAGGTCTCGATGTAGAGTCTCATCACTTGGCTAGTAGTGGGAGCTGGAGACCAGAACACTCATAGGTGTGTGCTACACCCGATAGGAGGCATTGGTTGACGTGGTTGGTACTGGTCCGCTAAGTCAGTTAAGATAAAGTCAAGGTTATTTTGACTGTATGTGGGAAAAATTACAGCTTGTGATAGTAGTAGCTGGTCCTGGATATCAGTGGTGTCAATTTAGTTATAATCCCCACACCATACTGTACTATCTTGGCACATGGGTACCTTACTCTGAGGTGGTAATGAGGAAGTTGATAAGAGTGTTTCTGGTGGGTGAGCGAGGTGGATGGTATGTCGCACAGTATATGATAGAGGCAGTGTGGCGAGGGTAGGCACGTGGCACAACACGTACCCATAATGCCTCCACATAAGCTGCGACTAAAACATCCAGGAGTGATGGGAGTAGTTCATCTTGATAGAAGAGGGCAACGCCCCTTCCACGTTCATGTGAACGAAGGTGATGAAAGAGTTGATATCCCTCAATGTGGCACGTTTCTGGCACAATTTGCCAAGCTTCGCATATGGCAACGATGTTGGCAGCGACTGATCAGACTGTCGTTACCAGTTCATCAAAATTGTAGCTATATTCGGGGAACTTCAGTGCATTGGTACGATCTGTCAGGAGTAGGTTTCTCTGGTTTTCTAGTGGAGGTGATGATCCTAATGGGCTTCTGTTTATGACGTCCTTGTCTATGGCTGCGAGCATGGAATATGTTCAGTGGTTTTAGTCGCACAATAACACTGCCATCAGGATATCCGTTCCCATGCTTTAAATTGTACAAGGCGCGTCTGGAGTACGTCACTGGTGGACATCTGTTGGTGTCTGTTGTTGTGGACGGATGGAAGTGTTTGTCCTCGGTGGTCATAACCTCAATGGCGGCACTTTGAGGGCCACTGACACTGGTAAACATCTGTTAATATTTTTCTAGTCGTAAACACCGCGAGTCCTTGTCTCTGGTACTTAGGTGCCGCCGACACAGTACCCACGGTATATGTTAACACAGCGGTGGTCCTTGTCACTAGCAATTTGAAGGTGACCGACAAAGTGCCTACGGTCTGGTATTACACTGCTGTGAATCACGTTTGTTTTTGTGTTTTTCCTTGGAATAGACTATTGGATCACTATTTGGTAATCAGTCATTACAGTGATCACTTGAATGTCTTAGGGCAGGGGGGGGGGAGGCAAACAGACTTGGCCTGGCAGCCAATCAGGAGGGCCTACAGGACATGTCTTGTCTCACTGAGGGCTGATTGATGTGTGTGTGTGTGTGTGTTTACATAGTCACATGGGAGAGAATCAAACACCAGGGATGCTGCAGAAGATGTTTATTTGCTCAACTAGTACACTTTTCATTTCTTCTTCACTATTAAGCGTAAACACAGGCCAGGGAAAATTCAAGTAGGCTCTCAGGCTTCCATTTGACGTTTTTTTGTATCATTTTCATATGGCATAACTAGCGACCCACAACCATAATATCTATGCTAAACAAACACATTTTGCTATCTTTGATCAGAGATATGGGGGCTCCATGGGAAGGTTATAAATGAAAAAAATAACATTCTGAAAAATTCCCTCTTCAGGCAGTCTCCAATTCACACATGTTGTCTCTCCATTTTTTCTTCAGATGCAGCACAGGATTAACGTTCCCATAGCCATATCTCCGAGCTTTCATGAGCTAATGCTATAGTTCAGTTTACGTTACAAAGCTCAGACACTAGATAATTGCCATTTTCTACGAAGAATGGCTTTACTTGAAGAAAACGAACCGAAATTGCCGATGTCCGGTAACATGCGTATGTCGTCGTCGTTGTCGTCGTAATTTCAATGGACTATCTAATCTACAATAGTTAAGTATAGCGACGGTAACCGTAGTTTTGTTGAAAAATTTATTATGTAGATTTGAGTTTTAAAGAAGAGAAACCTTGTGAAAATTTGAAACTAACGTTCTGAGGTTCTTTAAATAGTCAATATCTTCCTCACTCACTTTTCGACTATTAGAGAACCAAATATAAAACTCTATGATGAACACTTCGATTAAAGACATTTTCGTCTTTATTCGTGTGATTATTTATGTTTAGGGAAACATGTTGTAGTTTATCATATCGCAGGTGTTTCAAACCATACTTCCCCCCTCCTGTTATCTTCTTACTAAAATGAGTAAAATCGGAAAAGATGTGCATATCTGAGAAATGAAATCAGTGTTAAAGTTACAGAGTTTATCAGAGGTTTGAACGGTTACCGATTATGTTTGATATTAGTGACGTCTTTCACACTACATTCTGACTATTAATCCCACTTCTATAACAACAAATATATAGATTAGTCTGAACTGATTCGTCTTTGGTTAAAAACAGTACAGTAAAATTCATTCTTGTTTTCTCATGCTGTCCCTATAGAGGTTTAACTTACCTTCCTTCATTTAAGATATACAGTATACATTCATTCATTCAAAACAATTTGTTTCCACCCTCAATACACACATGCTCCCGACGTTGCCATTCACGCCCACCACTCTGTGAATTAGATGTTATTTTTTTTTAGGTTTTGTCCGATGCGTGTGTTACTGTACCTATTAGAAATATGGTAAGAACTAGGTCTACATCCCATAACAATAATATAGTTCGCTATTTCTTCTCCAGCAAAATTTCACTAGTTCTACACCTCCACATTAAAGGTTGTATCGTCCTACACCCTGTGAGGACAGTTCTTCCTCTTATATGCCTACTCATATAGAGTTTCTCTACTTCTACGCACACATCCACAATCCTGTCTTTCGCGGCAGCCATCTAGTCGCGGATGGTGAGCTTGCGGGAGCCCGTCACGTCGTGGAGCTGACGAGACGCGAAAGAGGCAACCATGCGATGGTCTCCGGCCTTACGAGGCACGAAGGTCTGGCTGTAAGTGAAGGTTTCCCTCGGCCTCACTTCCCGATTCACTCTCACCGTCCTGGGTCTGTATGCTCCGCCCACCTCCATGCTGAAGAAGCAGTCTGTGAGTGCCACATCCAGCGGGTTACTGAAGGTGAAGGTGGCAGTGCACTCCTGGCCAACCTGGCACTCTGGCACCTGAGGGATGAGATAGGTGATGCGTGTGTTAAATTTAAAGATGTTATGGAGAAAGAGATAGAGAGAGAAAGAGAGTGAGAGAGAAATATTTAACTTTTATCAAAATTTTCTAACAATGTTTCTTCTATTTGATATCTCTAACAAAGGTCCTCATGCCTGTATCATTCAACCACTCACTCCTCTAAAGGTCTAGCTCTTCCTCAAAAATGATTTCTCACTCTTTTCTATACTTCCTCTTCCAAGTTTCACCACTCACCCCTAACAGTGCCACCATAGGTCCCTCACATCTCATAAGTCCATTAGTAGAACTGCCTACCTCAATGCTCATCCTCGGCTTCTCAAACTGAAAGTCGAACTCGTCAATGTATGATTGTTTGTTCTCTGAGACGTGGCCAGTGGCGGTGATCTTGATGAAGCCCATGTCCACCAGGTGGTCCTGGTACTCAGAGGCGTCCAGCTTAAGGGTGAGAGTGTCTTTCTGGCCGCCCGAAAGTGTGAACTGGCCAGTGACCCTCTTCAGATGCGTTCCAAACACCCCGGTGTAGAAGGCGCTCCTGGGGGTTACATCGAAGGAAGATGAAGTATCGATGATTGTGATAGTTGTGGTAGTGTTGATGAGAATGATGATTATGTTGATAATAGAAGTGACGATGGAAGTGATCGTGTTTGTAGTGGTGATGGTGGTGGTGTTGATGAAAATGGTGATGGTGTTGATAGGAGTGGTAATGGTCTTCGTGGTACTGGAGGTAGTGAAGATGGTGATACTGGTGTTAGTGGCGATGTTGACGATAGAGGAGGGAGGATGCAAGAGGAACTACTTGGTGGAGGGAGGGAGGGGGGGAATGGGGACTACCAAGTAAAAGGAAGGAGGGAAGGAGGAGGTTTTACCTGGTCGAGATGGTGGCCTGCACAGTTCGGGTCTCGGACGTATTGTTATGCACCTGAAGGGTCACACTCACACTCTGGCCTGCTGCCACTTGCTTTGGTTCTTGAAGCTCAAATTCCACATCATATCTGCCCTGGTCCTGTTGGCAGAGGGAGGAAGGTGGTCATAGGCGGATGGATGAAGAGTTGGATGAATGGATGGATGATTGATGGGGAGATGGATAGATGGAAGAAAGGGATGAGTGACGGATAAGTAGATATATAGTGGTAACCACTCATTTAACCATATCTTGCTGCATCCACAATCCATGTAATCTATTTTTTCTTGTTCACCTTTAACACATTGCAATTTATCTCTCCTTCGCCTATCCCTGGCACTCTCCTAACACTGCCCATCCCCATTCACACACTTCCTTCCTCCATCAGTTGTCACCTGGTAGTCGTAGTAAACGTGGTCCTTCCTCACTCCCCGACAGGCGTTGAACACGGTGAACCTCTCTGGCTCGGATCGCTCCAGGTCGCGGTAGGTCTTGGTCACATCCTCGCAATCCGCTTCTCCGTCGTCGTCGTGTCGCCCCACTGCCTTCGTCACCACCGAACGACACACCGGCATCCTAACGAAAGTGGATGACAGTCGTCAGGCAGGGTATTGGTAATTGTGAGTAGTTAAAGGAGCCGTTATATGCAGTTAAGGGTCGATGTAGGTGGTTAGTGATCGCTGTAGTATCTACAGAGGTCACTTACCACCATCTACATGTGTCATTTTAAACGTCAATGTAGGACATTGTAAACTGTTAATGGTCTTCCTAGGTGGTTAGTGATCGTTTTTTATGTTTGTTTGAGGTCGTTCCACTGTACAGTATTAGTGATCGTTATAGGTAGTTAGAAGTTGATCTGGGTAGTGAAAAACTCGATCCAACTTTTGAAAACGACTAAAGAAGGTCACACCTGACGGCGAAGGTATTGAGAAAGGACAAAAATCTGTCCACAAGTCATTGCGGATAAGCTTCAGGCGGTCACGAAATAGTAGTAGAGGAATTTGCTGGTCATAAATTCTACGAATTATGAAAAGCATTCGTATTATTCATAGAATTTCAGTGATAACCCGTGGGTAAGTTTCGGGAAAAAAATTATTATACAATCATGGACAAGTGTGGCAGACACTGAGAGGTGGGGGGAGGAAGGAGAAGGACCCACCTGTTCTGCATGTAGGGTGTGTAGCCCCACTCGGAGTCGTCGTCCTCGTAATAGTACCTAACGAAGGAGTTGAGGGCAGAGAAGAAGGCGCCTGTGTCTTGGGAGTAGCCGACATCTCCCTTCTTTAGTGCCTCCGTCGACGATGGGCCACACCCAGTTGAGAACCCTGCAGGAGAAGGGAAACCTTGATTTTGGCATATATATGTGTTCTATGTGTTGTATACGCTTCTCTCTCTCTCTCTTCTATCTATCTATCTATCTATCTATCTATCTATCTATCTGTTTCTAAGCATAGAGGAATACAAGTCATATTCCATCTTAGAAAAATGACATCACCTCTGGGGGGAGAGATGGAGGTACTTACTACTGTGGTAGGCGCGGGCGGGGTCTGTAGTCTGCCAGCCGGAGTAGCCAGAGGGCAGGTCTGGGCGGGCCATCCACACGTCACACCAGGTATGGAACGCCCACAGGGAGTCTGGCTGGTCACGTCCTGGACCTCGCTCGATCTGGAGACCCAACTCAATGTTAAAGGAGGAACATACGCATATATCTCTTTATTACTTACGTACTCTTAAGTGTTTCTTCACTGAAGGGTTGACTACTCATTCATATACACATAGGTCTCTTAATTTTTTAAGTTGTGGTCTTGTGACGAATCTAATAATGTTTAGTAACTTAAAAGACTGGCTGCTGAAGTGCTTAAATATATTAAAACATTATCTGTTATAATAGTGTGTGCGTGTCAATGCATTAACCTTTTTTCTCTACAACATCCAGCTAGGTGGAGTAGAACACCAAATCACCCCAGGTCAAAGCTCACCAGGTCACCCCAGGTAAGGATTCATCAGATCACCCCAGGTCAAGGCTCACCAGGTCACTCAAGGTTAAGACTCACCAGGTCACCCCAGGTAAGGACTCATCAGGTCACCCAAGGTCAAGAGTCACTAGGTCACCCCAGTTCAAGATTCACCAGGTCACCCCAGGTCATGACTCACCACGTCACCAAAGCGGTCGATGTATCGATCTAAGGTGAGGGTCTCTTGGGTGTCGTGGGCGGAGGTGAGGGCGGTGGTGGGGCGGGCAGGCACACCCAGGGCGCGGCACACTGTAGGGGGAGACGTGATCAGAAGGCTTGTTTAGTTGTTTAGTGATTTGTAGGCGTGGCTTGTGGTGTATGAATGACGTTAGTGGCATGTATGTTTGAATATTGGCGTATGGGCGTGGTTAATGATGTGTGGGCATGAGTAGTGGTGTATGGGCGTGGTTAATGGTGTATCAATGTGTTTAAGGTGTGTGTGTGTGTGTGTGTGTGTGTGTGTGTGTGTATGCGAGTATTCGTGTATGGGCGTGGCTAGTGGTATATGGCATGAGTAGTGGTTAGTAATATATGTTAGTTGTTAGTGTAAAATGGAGATGTTAAGTGGGTCGGTAATACACAAAACACTGTAAAAAAAATAACACGCTGATTGGACCAATACTTCACAACAGAGATGAAAAAGAAATTAAATGGGGGCTTTTTTTTCCGTCAAGACCGATTGAACTTACTTTACCAACCTGAGTGACTGCTGTGTTATTCAAGTCTTTCGACATCCCGTTTAACTTACCTCGGCTCCCTTTCCCCCATATCTTCCTTCCTCTCTCCCTTTCCCCCATACCCTCCTCCCTCTCTCCCTTGCCCTCCTCCCACTCTCGCTTACCCTTCTCCTTCTCTCTCTTACCCTCTTCCCTCTCTCCCTTTCCCTCCTCCCTCTCTCCATTACCCTCCTCCCCCCCGCTACCCTCCTCTATCTCTCTCTCTCTCTCCTTCCTTATTTCTCCTTTACGATTTTCCCTTCCATCTTCTTGGTCTTCCTTCCTCTCTCTCTCTTACCTGTTGGCCCATACTGGGCAGTCCCGTTTACACCTAATCCCTATTGCTCATATATCCATCCAGCCTACATTTAAAGCTATCCAGCGTATTCGAGTTAATGATGATGTGTGGTAACTTATTCCACTCATTCAATACTCTGTTTCCAAGCCAATGTTTACTTATCTTGCGCCTAAATCTAAATTTGTCTAATTTAAAACCATTGCTACGAGGGCGCTCCTGGTTGGATAGTTTGAGTACCTTTGGTATATCACCTTTGTTTGGCCCTAACTTCCATACACCTTGATCATATCGCCCCTCACTCTACGTCTCTCGAGGGAGTGCAAATTAAAATGTTTTAACCTGTCTCTGTACTCAAGGTTCCTATTTCCCGGGATTAGTCTTGTCATTCTCATCTGAATTCTTTCTAGGTAACCTTTATCCATTATGTAGCACGGTGACCAGAACTGAACCGCGTAATCCAAGTGAGGTCTCACAAGCACAAGATATAGTTTTAGGATAACCACGCCAGTCTTTTAAGTAACACTCCTTTGTATGAGCCCAAGTACTGTACTTTGTTAGCCTTGATTCAAGCAAATACACAGTGTTGACTTGGTTTAAGATTCCTACTTATAATTACTCCTAAAGCTTTCTCACGGTCGGATTTTTATATAACAACATTGTTCATCTGATATCTAGTTTTTCAGTTTACATCTCCGAGACTAAATACTTTACATTTGGCCACATTAAATTTCATTTGCCATTTTTCAGCCCTCTGTGGGTACATTGTGAAAGGTCACCTCATGTGAGGTCATGTAATTCACCCCCAAACATAAAACCCCTTTTCTCAGCTGCCTTTTCAACTTATCAAAGTTTGCCCTTCCGAAATCTGGGACTTAAATGGAATTTTCCTTGCGACTGACATTAAATTCTTCTTTAAACCTCACTTCTTTGTGATTTCTGTTAGCTAGTTCGTTCCTTAACTCGACATTACAATGAGGTTTTCTTTGTTTGACAGAAGTAAATCAAGTATATTATTATCCCGGGTGGGTTCGGCTATATGTTGACTTAAGAAACAGTCCTCAAGTATTTCAAGATTATCCTCCGGTTCTGAGTTACTCCCAAGGTCGGTCCAATCTATTTGACTAAATTTAAAGTCGCCTACTATGCAGATTTTGCTATGCCTGGATGCCCTGCACATTTCATCCCAAATAGTTGCTCATTAGCTCTATCGAGGTTAGGAGGTCTTTATATTACTCCTATGATTATTTTTCCCTACCATCGGTTAATTCTATCCAAATTGTTTCTGTATTCAGTTCAGTTTTTATTTCCTTATTGATTTCGCACTTCAGATTATCCCTGACATAGATTGATACCCCGCCTCCTTTCCTAATCTGCCTATTGATATGGAGTAATTTTTAACCTTTAATTTGGTATTCTACAGGTAACTTACGTGAGTCTATATAACTCATGTGAGCCTAAGTAACTCACGAGAAACTATCCTTCTTCCTTCCTTCTGACTAACCTTGCTTCCTTCCATCTGCCTTCCCATTACTTCTCCTTTTCACCTCTCGTGTCCTGTTACCCTTTTATCATTGTCTCTTCTACTCTTCCTCTCCCTTTACTCCTGTTTTCTACACATATAACTCCCTCTCACCTTCCATTCTTACCCTCCCTTCCTTGCTCTTGTCCCTCATTTTCCCTCTCCCACTCTCATTCTCCCTCTTCCACTTCCTGTCTCTCCATCCTCCACTCCTTCACACTGACCTGAGGTCATGAGGGCTGCCATGACCCAGCACTGGCCGTACTTGATGGCGGTGGCACCCCTCATCAGGTACTCCTGCAGGATCTTGACGGAACCGGTCCACAGGTGGGGGTTCTGGCCTCCCCGGAAGTCGTCTTCGTAGTGGGGCTCGAGGACACCCTCCCCGTGCTCGTCCTCGCGGTCTCGACGACCACGACGAGACGCCTGGATCTGTTGGGTGGAGGGGGGTTAACCATTTGCGAATAATGGTTTACCATTTTAGGACAATAACTTAAGTTTTTAGAATAATTATTCAACCCTTTGAATAAATTAACATTCGCTTCGATAACAATGATTGAATCTATTGATAACAATAAAGTAACCTTTTGGGAATAATCAATTAACACTTTAAAGAAAATAGCTAAACCTTTGAGGATAAGGAATGAATACTTTGAGGGCTATAAATTATCCTCTGAGGATAATTATTCAACCCCGAAGAGAATCGCTTAATCCTCTGAAGACAATAATTTAACCCTCTGAGGACAATTGTTTAGCACTTCAGAGGACGATGGTTTACTTTAAATCATCATTTTCAAAGAGTTAAGTATAATGCGCTTAATAAGAAATCATCATCTACATAGACGAAGTTCCTACAAATTAATCAAGACCTGAACAATCTCAAGCATAATATAATGAATGAGAGTGCAATGTGCACTCACCATGGAGCAGAGGGCCCTGGTGACCTTGACAGGGTTGCCTCTCTCAGTGTGTGTGAGGGAGGACATCTCCAGCAGGAGGCAGGCGGTAGGAAGGACACAGTCGTCGAACTGGCCGTAGATCCAGGGTCGGCCGTGGCTGAACCTTGAACCTCCGCGGTACACCTTCCCGCTCTCCGTCATCACGTACTCTGAGCGCTGGGCTTCGTTCTCCATGTATACGGCGTCGTCTGGCGAGCGAAAGGGTGAACGAGGGGAGTGATAGAGTGGAAGGGAAAGGGACGTGGAGAGGGAGGAATGGTGAGTGGGAGGGAGAGGGACGTGGGGTGGGAGGGGGTTCATACCAAAGAACTGTATTTTCTGAAGAACATATCGAAGATTTTTTTGTTCGTGCATATTATGATATAAATGATACATCAAATAATCAACAGAGTGTACGCCGTGAAGAAGGCAAGACTCACCTCTACAAAAGGGATTGAAAATAACGTAGAGATCCTCCGGGGCGCGGTACTGAGTTCTGTTCTTGGGATAGTTCTTAGTAGCAGTCTCCACCACACACCGCCACACTCCCACCGAGCACGTAGCCGGGATGTGCACCTATGGGAGATGGCCAGGAGCAGGTTAAACGAGGTTAAGGTGTGTTAGGTCAACCAATATATTTCTCACTTGACTAGGGACTTATTAAATATTATTAGATGGAAATTGCAGTGGAAGCGCCCCCTTCGAGAAAAAACCCGAACCAGCACAAAACACTTAAATTTACTAACAAGAATGATAGCATCTGTGATTGGGGCAAATGAGACGCACTGTAGAATTTAGACACTTCTATTCTCTCCAACACCACAGACACAATCAAATAATGGTACACCAACATATGCGCACCTCTTAACCTGAACTTAAAGCACTACTCTGGGGAATAAAAGTTATACATGATATTGAAATTATTAGAAACTCAGAAAATGCCTCATTAGACAACAATAAATTCAAAGTATTAAGAAATGTTGCTTGCACACATGAAACAGGCCTTAAGGGCTTTCAACGAAATAATATCAATCACTGAGAAAATGGTATAAATGAAATATGAAATTATTAATTCCACCATGAATAGGCCTAAAGGGCACTCAATAAAATTATGTTACCAACAGATGCAGGCCTTAAGGGTTTTCAACAAAATAATATTACTCACTGAGGAAATGGTATAAAGATATAAATTATAAAGAAATATTAACTGCATTAATGGAACTAAATCACAGTATCACTTAGAACGGAAAGGAGGAACCTCATCTGAAAACAGTTCCCTCATTCTCTGGCAGCAATTAGTGATACAAACATTAAATAACAATACTATCAAAATTATTTAAGAAATATTAACTACACACAGCAAGACAATATCAGTAACTGAAAAAAATATTATCAATAGATTAAGAAGTTACTGAGTCCACCAATACCCGTAAACACATGCTCCCTAACCTAACACATACAGTAGATTCCACCTTCACTCCGTAGTTTTTTAAGGCACAACCAACAGGCACCCGTAGTTAAGGCACAAACAAGTCTTTCTCCACCTTGGAAAATGTACCTCTAAGTTCCACTAGACTCTTGGCCTCAGTGTGTGACCATACATTTACTCAGCTGGCCTCATTTTACACTCAGTACATCCATGAGACGGAAGGGAGTGAGCCAATCAGACCTTCTTCAGTTGAGAGAAGCTTTAGCTTCTTGTAGTAAAAGTTTTTACTAACTGCTTGAAGATATGTGATATTGTGAGCCTAGGTAGAAGAGATCTGGCGACCCCAGACGATCGTCAGTTGTGCACCTAGACAGCTGGTGTCACTTCAGAGATCCCTTGCTAACCCAGCTAACCAGTGACAAGCCTGCACTGATAGTTCCAACTGCGACAATCACCAATCATCAATCATCAACGGCAGTCTCAAATGGCAGTCATCACCTGCAGTCATCACTTGCAGTCATCACTCGCAGTCAAGTGGGTTCTGACGAAAACCCTGCAATGAACTCACTGTTAGCTATTGCTAATTTTATCACTGCCCTATCTAAACCCTGTCTGAGATAGAATGAGACTTACTTGTTATACTGCAATGTCGCAACACAGGTGACTATTCCACGTGACTGCGTTGTCCTGTCTGACGCACAGACCGTCCTCTCTGTTCGAACGCTGTCGTCTGACTGAGAAACAGCCAGGCTAGTGCTTTCCCAAGCCTAGGCCTACGTGAAATATTTTCCCGCATAACTAATAGCTTCGTTGGGACACACGTAACATATTTAGACTGTGAAATGATCCATAAAAATTTCAAATTGATAAAGTCATTTAATTTCATGATTCGCATCCATATTATTTCGGTAAATTACATTTAATATCGTATAGGCCTAGTTCCATAAGCTCACACTACGTGCGGGAGCGCTCCTCCCTCAGTTGACCTTGAAAACTCGGTATCGGCAATATGGCGCGCATATCTAAATCACACTGAAATTTCTGAATATTACAATCGACCCCCATAAAAAAGACAACACTGTCCTCATGTGCTGAGAAAACATGCATACGACCCCCCCTAGAAGACTTGTTCTAATAACTGCATCTCACACCTGCAACATGCCAAACGCAGCATTTCCGTCTTCTCTTCTCCCCTTCTCTCTCCCGCTAACACACACACACACATATATATATATATATATATATATATATATATATATATATATATATATATATATATATATATATATATATATATATATATATATATATATATGTGTGTGTGTGTGTGTGTGTGTGTGTGCGTGTACTTTCTGTCTTGTCTAACATTATATCATAATTTACTGTAACTGAAACCCATTGACCGTAACGAAAGTTGAAATTTTTTCCTAACACTATCTACCTGGCTGAGTTATTCGCCTCTCAAGTCAATGGAAGTAGACGAATCTCTGACTCTCTCTATTTCTCACTCCCTGTCCCCTCTCTCTCCCCCACTCTCCCTTTCTGTTTCATAATTTAGAAGATTTTGATGTACAGCACAACTCCATCTCATTCACTGCGCGACCCGGCATAAAACATTATCACAGAGACACAGGGCACCCACTGTTCTCGACTTTTATTAAATAGAGGCGGAGGTAAAGTTTGTTTATGTGAGATATAATACTGTGGAACTTCCTTGGTCCTTCTCACCTTACCTTGGTTGTTTTTTCTGGTCCCTAGAACATCCCCAGTTACACTGTCAGTCGTCTTTCCTTATTCCATCTTTGTCCTTTTTTACCCTCCCTTGAACTCTTTACTTAAGCAGTGCAGCATCTTATCGTCTTTCCCTTCTTCCTCTCTTTTCTCCTTTTTTGCCACATATACACTTACAATCAAACACTGTCGCCCCCTTTGCCACCCTTAATCCTTTCCCTTATCTCCCTTTGCCCCGAAGCATTAAAACGACACTTTCTGGATTCCTTACCCATCCAGTAAGACTGTTTTCTTCCCCCAAGTCCTTCCTTTCACTTCCTTTCCTTAGCTCACCTGCAGCGTGAGGGTGTTACCGTCCTGGGCCTGGATGCGGACGTCCCACTTCTGAGGAGCTCGGGTGAACTCCTTCTGGATGGTGACTGGCAGTACCACCCTCGTCCTCTTGGGTACGGAAGGCGCTGGCCCGAAGTAGAAGTTGAGGTACAGGTGGTCCCTTGTGCAGTCGAACTCCCGCTCCCGCGTCACCTATCAGGGGGGGGGGACGCAGAGGGTCAGGAAGGTGGAGTAAAGAAAGTGTCTGTATAGGTAAATGAATGGCGTCTATCTCTCATACTTTCTTTATCGTCCCATCTCTCACCTTCTCTCTTTATCTCCCTGTCTCTCTCTCACCTTATATATTTTTCTCTTAAACACAGTCTCACTCTCATTCTCGCTCTTTATCTCTCACATGCGCACATAATCTGTCTTTCATTTACTTTCCTTGCAAGACTGCACTTTTTAGCCAATAAGACCCTAAATCCTAAGATCATAGGACGCTACAGACTACCAGCTCTTATGACTCTAAGGTCTCAGCTCATAGGACTATAATATAGCTGCTACCAGATGCTAAGTCTCAGTTTCCGAGATAATTACCTTTCAGCACCTAAAACCCTGGAATATCAATCTATGCAACTCTTAAATTCTCTTCTATGATCCTGGTCGCTGTCCCACAGACTTTAAAATTTTCATCAGTTAGAACTCTAAATTATCAGCTAGTAGGACCTTTGACCCCAGCTCTAAGAACCCGACACATCAGCTCTTAAGACCCCACACCTCTGGTCCTAGGATGCTAGACCCCACCTCATAGGAGCCAGGATCTCGGTTGCTAGGAGAGTGGACTCACTAGAGAGAGATGAAAGGCCTGTCCCCTGCGGTACACTGGGGTAGGGCGGTCGTGGTCCTGCACCAAGTCGTACTGAAAGGTCCTGTGGTCCTTGGCGTTCTCTTGTGACCGGAAGTCCACATGTTCCACCCGCAGGATGTCAGCAGGAACACCGGAGTAGTGGCCTGGAAGAGAAACGGGAGGAGGAGGGCGGTAAGAGGAACGGGGGCAGGAGGAAAAGAAAGACAGATAAATATCTGGGAATATCTTCCTCTAAAACCTTTAATTAATCAAACCGTCGGAAATTTTTTTCTTCAAACCCCTTAATTTACCCAAGGAGAGAAAATGCTTGACACCCTCTTAACTTACTCTGGGGGGCGTAGTTCTGGGCGGGGTCAGCAGGCATCTCGTTGTAGCGTCGCCTCCACAGGTCATAGCACGCCCGCATAGCCATGTCGCGGGCGTAGTACCTCTGACGCCCACGTCCGTACCTCCACTCCTCCTCATACTCATGCTCCTGCAGACAGGTGTAGGTCTGGGCGTAAGTTTTGTCATGTGTGAAATATTGTAGTATTGTTATTTGGAGGTACGAGCATAGTAATATAACTGTGTATGTGTGTGTGTGTGTGTGTGTGTGTGTGTGTGTGTGAACTTGTGGAAGGTGTTGTAAGTGTATGTGTGTGCTGACGTCAATGTGGGGTCATATGACACTAAGTATGAGTGACACTAATAACAATTGGCATTATCTACGGGTAACATCACAGACAGAGAGTGATGGGTGGTGGTATGGAGGAGGCGGTACTCACATGCTTGGGTGGGTAAGTGGGCCGTGTGCGGGAGAATGGTGGTACGGGCGGCGGCATCTGTTGCTGCTGCTGGATCTGCTGCTGTTGGCTGGTCTTGGTGCCTGGTGGGTGCATCCTGGAACAGCAATCTTGGGTCAGTGTCGGGCTTACTCAAGACTTGGTCGGGATCTCGAGGATTTACTCTTATTCAAGTGCTTTAGTGTTCAAATTCAATTTTAGTTTATCTGGATTCGCTTGGATATGCTCATATTTATGTGGATTCACTCGTTTATGCAACAAGGAGATTATTTTAAATTCAAGTTTGGTTCTTGAAAGCTATCCCGCGTTCATTTGAAATCCACCTTCGGTTCAAAAGGTTTCTCAGGACTGTTTTGATTAGTCTGGTATTCATAGAGTGTCAGCTTTATAGCAACGAAGCCAACACAGCAAATATTTATAAGCAATTTGTTAAACAGCGCAGGTCCGGGTTCGGTGAACGGATATAAAGTCACAGGAACAAAAATACAGAATAAAGTCAGAATTTTGGTTAGGAAAAAAGTCACAGGAAAAAGTCACATTTTATTTAAATATCATTAACAGTTAAAGTAATAAAACAACAAATATGTTAAATCACTTAATAACTGACAATGCATAACTTGTATACATTAACAACACAACTTATATATGATGGTAGTACACGTATGTTAGGATAGGTTAGGTTACGTTACGTTACGTTAGGTTTTTTCTGTGACTTTTTGCAGATGACTTTTTTCTGTGACTTTTTACAATAGCTTGTGACTTTTATCTGTGACTTTTTACAGTATCTTGTGACTTATTTTCTGGATTCCTGGGTCCAGACTCCCCGAAGTTCGGAAGATGAGGATTCATCGTAAGAATGTCCCTGGTTTACGAAAATTACACTGAGTTTCTACTTCAACTAATATATTCAGTTGGCACCAAATTAGAGATCAAATTAACGAACAAAATCTTACCAGAGATTCTTTACGTTACTTTTGTGATTTAGCTTAAGTCATTTACTAGAAATATTCATTGTACACACGTCTGAGACTCTGGGATCTCGACTGAGAACTAAACGACAAAGAGGGAGTGATTAACAGCTTAATAGTGAGGCTCTTATGTTTTAGGATTATTTTGTCAGCTCTTCTCACAGTGTAATGCCACCACAATGCATAAAGGTTAATTTATTTTATCTGAGAGAAACTTTTATGAAACAAATGCTAATATTATGGTTTACTGTTGAATATGACGCATGTGCACTGAAGCGACTGACAGACTTATGAAGACACAGTAAAATGTACAGCATACCTACTTGGTACGAGCAGTAGCACGAAAACATTAACCAAAAAAAAACATGACATGCGCACTGGACAGTCTAAGGTGTCCCTGCCTGCAACAATATTCATTTTAAGTTAGAAAAATCTGGTTAAACCCCTCCTGACTGCATTTATGTGCAGCTGATAGGGTAATTTTGTGTATAGTACTGCACTGTATTACACTGTGCTATAATGTACTTGCTGTAGTGTACCATCTTGTAGTGTACCATATTGTAGTGTAGTGTAGTGTACTGTGTTGTAGTAAAGTATATTGTTCTGTACTGTAGTGTTCTGTGCTCTAATGTAGTGTACTGTAGTGTAATCTGCTGTAATGTACTGTGCTGCAGTGCGCTGTAGTGTAGTGTACTGTGCTGCATAAACTCTGGGATTTTTTCTTTTTACTTGTGCTTCGGAAATATAGTTCAATCTTCGCTTTGAGAAGTAAGTATTATGTGAATGTGACAGTGGGTTTCGTAGATACAACACCGAGAGCACTAGATCTTCGGTACACAAGGATGCAGAGTGGCTGGCACTGAAATCGAATGTGTTCGTTTACCCAGTTGTAAATTTAGATACCCTTTAACAGGTAGATAGACTGAGTACCCGGGCACGAACTAACGACTCTCAGGACAGGAGACAAGCAATGTGCTTACTCAGCCACCACAACCCTCATCGTTGTTATCCAAATTAGAAAACATAGTTTCCATATATATTTAAAAAGAAATATCCATCATGAGCCTTGAGAGGCATTTGCATGACGATAGACAGCTACACGATAAAGCCATAGATTCAGAGTAATAAATGAATCTTTAGTGACACGACCCATGCAGTAGACTAAACATCGGTATGTGTATGTAGCAAGTAAAGAAAAACTCATCACTCACTTAAATCATTTCATAGCAGTGAAAGAAAAGGAGAACCATAAATTTTGTCCGCAATTTCGATCAGTTCGTGATATTGCTTCTACGTTTACCTGTACTTTTAACGAAAGTAAAATGTTTGTTGGCATTCTTCCACAACTTCTTCATTCGGTGACCTTCAGTGACTAATTAACACATTTTCTTTTCTATTCACTCAGTTAATAAAAATCACATACTGTACTTGGTATAAGTGAGGAGCACATTTACTTTGGTGTGAACGACCATCCATCGACCAAGGCTCGCGTTAGGTTTATGTCGCTGATCTGCAGTACAACACACGTACACTGGTTCGTAATTCCACTTATTTTCTCATTACAAAGGTTGTGCCTAGAACACTAATTTCTACCATTTCGCTAGTCCACATAGTAAGCTGCTCATACACTTTGTTATTTCAAAGACTTTTGCTCACCTGATGACTAGAAGGGCGTGTGCCAGCGACGACGGTGTGTGGGTGTTGGTGGTGAATGCGCTTGGCAACGTGGGCACCCAGCAAGATCCGACTTGGCTTTTATACAGAATGTTCCGGCCGGTGAGTGAGGGATCAGTTTCAACTGGGAGAGCGGACCGTCCCCTCACCTCATATTACTATGGTTAGTCTTAATTTTACGTCTTCTATAATGCATTCGCCCTCATTTTGTAATATAAAACAACTTGCTTACAATTTCCTCGCATCACTAAGGAAAAATGTATCAACGTATTATAAAAGCTAAGAGATAAAGAATAATTACACTAAACGAAACATGACGTGGCTCTCCCGCGGTAAACCAGTTTTTATAAAGAAGTTGCTTGACCTGATGTCAGTCACGCCAGCGAGGTGGGAACAAGCAATATACTCGTGTGTATATATATACTAGTATATATATATATATATATATATATATATATATATATATATATATATATATATATATATATATATATATATATATATATATATATATGTATATATATATATATATATATATACTAGCGATTCCGCTTTCGCTAGGCCACGGTAGGACGCCACCCTCCTGGAGGCTCCACAGTGTCTCACTGTAGTGCATTAAGGTAGACCATATTTTTGGTTTTGCCATTAGCAACAAGTATGTACAGATTTTTGCCAGTTCCCACTCTGGAGCACCCAACATAGAACTGTCCATGAGAGAAGCAAGGAAACACCAGATTTAGGCCAACCACCTTTAGGGACTGTCCCTGGCTTTTGTAGATGGTCATGACAAAGCTCACTTTAACCGGGAACTGAAGTCGCTTGAACTCAAATGGCTGTTCAGCAGTGATGAGAGGTATCCTTGGTATAAAAACGTCCTCTACTTTAGCTTTTCCTGTCAGTATTGTAGCTTCCAGTACATGTGGCATCATGTTCTTCACCACCAGTCTTGTGCCATTGCAGAGGATTGGTGGTTCAAGAATTCTTAAGAGCATTATAGGAGTTCCAATCTTGAGAGTGAGGTGGTGAGGAGGCATTCCAGCGGGCTCCAAAGAATTAAGGAATTCTGCAGGGTACTGTACTGCTTGGTCCTGGTCGATTACTGTATCAACACACTTGAATGAGGTCTCAATGCCTGGAAGCTGTCTGAGTAGAGTCATGTTGATTTCAGCCACTGTTTCATTCTTTGGTGCCAGAATTGCGCGTTCACGCAGCCACTTGTGATCCTTGTAGTGGTGGATAATGTTTGGGTAGACCATGTTAGTGAGCTCAGTTGAGGACTGTACAACATTTCCACATGCTTGAGGAATGATTTTTTGTCCTTCTGAATCAACAAGGAAAGTTCCATTCCCAATCTGTAGTAGAAGGTTTGCAAACCGTCCAGCATCCTGATCTCCTTGTAGATGTACTCTCATGTTTTGCCTTTGCCGATCCTTTTTTGATGTTGCACACTGGATTCTCATTGTGAGCGAGGTTGAGAGGCAGTTTAAAAGTTGAGTGTGCAGTACGTCCTCCTTCTAGTAGTGTTGCAGCAACGCCTGAGGATGCCACTGCAAGAGCAATTTTCCCTTGATAACGTACTTTGGCCAACAGAAGGTTGATCAGGAATGTTTTTCCTGTCCCGCCAGGTGCATCGAGAAAGATCATACCTCCCTGCTCTGCTTGTATCGCTTGCAAGATCTGTTCATAAGCAGTTGCTTGACAGGCACCAGGTGAGGCTCATTTTCTTCAAGAAAATTCACCAGAACTTCAACTGAGTAGTCTGTCTCTCTGAGCAACTCCCTGTTTGCAACTACTGTTCAGTCCCCAAAACTTCTTCTTCGATCAATAGTTCATTAACGGTATATGTAAGTTCCACTACAACATTACAGCAAAGTATAATGTTTTTAGCATTAAACTGTTATTATTTTATTGTCTAATCATCACTACATATAACACCACCCATCATCACTACATATAATATCATCCATCATCACTACATATATCACCATCCATCATCACTACATATAACACCACCCATCTTCACTACATATAACAACATCCATCATCACTACATATAACATCATCCATCATCACTACATATAACACCATCCATCATAACTACAGATCGGTAAAGTAGTTCCGAGATTCTCGTGCAGACACACACACAAACAAACACACAGACATACTTCTTTGTTTTATATATATATATATATATATATATATATATATATATATATATATATATATATATATATATATATATATATATATATATATATATGCAAGTAAATCACTGTTGGTGCGCGTGATCCAGGTATATGTTGATAACCGCAAGGAAAAAAGAAAGAAAACACGAAGTTCCCAAGCTCTTTCGTGTAATTCACATCTTCTGTGGTGAGTACAGACTAAGGAGAAATACATAACAAGGCATGCAGAACGACGTACCTATTTGTTATTTCGAATAGTTGACGACTGGTCCAGTGATATCTTGTGTATAATAATTACTGAATCTCATTTGTCAAAGGAATACCACAATTGTCTAATGAAGTAATATGTACTTGGAGGTGTTTAATGAGGTAATAAGTTCTTGAAGTGTTTGATGACTTAATAAGTAACTGCGGTTCTGTTTTGTCTGAGTGAATTTAAGATGCTTCTTTTCCACTCACTGTGTTAATAAATATCGAATTAGTAATCTACGAGTATCACCACTCTACTCCTTCTAAACATTGGTTCCCAGAAAATAATACTTACTCACGTGCCTATACATCTACCACACTACCCAAAAACTTTCCATGAGTTATGTTATATACTAAAAAGCTGGGTGGTGGCAGTTACCCTTTGTAAGTATAATAAGTGTTGTACTAAGAATAACATGGTTCCCCAGACTAACCCATATATGAGAATATATGTAAAACAGAGTAATTACTGCAGAAAGGGAAGGACATATAAATCTAGAAAATATATTATACAGTATATGAAAAGAAATGAAAGACTTAGAAAGTATAAGAAAAGACAGATAAGACATGTATGTAAATTGTGGAACTAAAGACACGGCCTAGAAATTCTTAAATAACTACACCATGAAGGTTTAATCGAAAGAACATACATAAATAAGGGAAGAAGTACTTATATAAGAATATAAGCAAGAGTATAAAAAACATTTATAAATAAAGAATTGAAGAATAATAACAGAAAAGAATATCTGGAGAGTAAATTATACAATGAGAAGAACTCGGCCCGTGTTTTTCTGGCTAAATAAACTGTTACAATTCAATTCAATTCAGAATAGACTCTTTAGGAATTTAGTTGTTAAAGATACGTAATACATTATAACATCAACATCTCTATTTACTCTGTGATGTATTCACGTGGTCAAAAACCATAATGGACCAGTCCGTGTGGAATATAGCGTGTGACAGTGGTGTTCCTGGTGAGTCATCTACCTGTATGGTGTTCCTGGTGGGTCACCTACCTGCATGGTGTTCCTGGCGGATAGCCTACCTGTATGGTGTTCCTGGTGGATCACCTACCTGTATGGTGTTCCTGGTGGGTCACCTCCCTGTATGGTGTTCCTGGTGGGTCACCTACCTATGTGGTGTTCCTGGTGGGTCACCTACCTATTTGGTGTTCCTGGTGGGTCACCTACCTATGTGGTGTTCATGGTGGGTCACCTACCTACGTGGTGTTCCTGGTGGGTGGGTCGCCATCATCAAAACCCTTATACCCCTAAAAGTCGTATGGCGACGGACAAGTGGCGACGGGGACATGCAGAGAACACTGCCCGGAGTCTCTAGTCACAACTCTTCAAATGGGCGGCATAGATAAGATGGTCGGTTATGCACTGGGATCGAGGCAGCAGTGCAGTCAGGTCCTGTCTGTGTGACTGAGCAGCCCTTTCGATTAGCCACTCTGCTTACCCCACATGAGGAGGGGGCTAGAAAAGGTGCCCTAAAAATAGCCTGCTTAAAAAACAACCTGACTGGGCAACCGCACCCAGTAAGGTCATCCTTAAGCGGTCGAAAACCCAATCATAATCACATATCAAAGCAAAAACAAACTATACAATCTCTTTTGGCCGCTGCATGGAATGTCAGGACCATTCTGGATCCTGACACAAATGAGCGTCCTGAAAGAAGAACAGCCCTTGTGGTAAATGAGCTGTCTAGGTATAACATCAACACAGCAGCCATTAGTGAGTCCCGGCTCCCAGACTAAGGTCGATTCACAGAACGAGTGCCTGGCTATACCTTCTTCTGGAAGGGTAGGCCTGCTGTGGAGAGTAACCGCATCTATGGAGTTGGCTTTGCTATTCGCCAATCCATCCTACATAGGCTAACTGAAATGCCTTTTGCGATCAACGAGCGCCTCACGATACTACGAGTCCCACTGAATCATTCACGCAATGCCTTCTTCGTCAGTGCATACGCTCCAACACTAGATGCAGAGGATAACATCAAGGAGGCCTTTTACGCCGACCTTGGCAGAGTGCTAACCTCTATTCCCAGAGAAAATAAGGTTGTACTCCTAGGTGACTTCAATAACAGAGTTTGAAGAGATGCTAACATATGGCAGAGAATCATAGGGATAAACGGAGTAGGCAAGTGTAATCCCAACGGCCTACTCCTCAACAAGTGTGCTGTACATAACCTCAATATCACCAATAACTCGTTTAGGCAGGCCTATAGTTCAAGAGTTCGCGGAAACACCCACGATCCAAACATTAGCATCTCATTGACTACATCATTGTCAGAGAAAGAGATCACCGAGATGTCCTCATTACCCGAGCCTTGCCTGGCTTAGACCAGTGTGACACTGATCATCAGCTCGTCCAGAATCAAACTCTCAACTCACATCGCCCCAAAACAGCGAAGGCAACAATCCTCCAGAAGAGGTTTTAACGCTAAGTGTCTGCAGGAGCCAGGAGAAGCACATGCTTTCAGAGAGCAGCTCGAACATGGGCTGATAAACAACCTGACAACAAACAACCAAAATCCCAGTGCCGAATGGACTATTCTTGACACTGTCATGACAAAACCTGCCCAGAGACACTCAGCCAGCTCGAAAAAATACACCAGGACT